TGGCTCACAAATCTCACTATATCTCATATTTCTCATGCCTCACTATTTCTCATTATATCTCAGTGGGATGAGATTTATGAAGGTGAGTTGAGATTTCTGCAACCCTGCTCTGAACCACACCCTGTCCAAAAACAGCACATTTAGCAACGGCTCAGGTCCTGCTCATGCGGCCAGGATGGTAATTGGGTGGTTGAAATCCAAAATTCCTGACTCTATTTCGGATCGACAATAAAATTCATTGTCGCCGAACTTCAACCTGCTGAACTCTGACCTATGGTCCAAACTGAAGCCTGGTACATGTGCTAAATCCCATATAAGTTTGGAATTCGAAAAAAATGCAACGACGTAGAAATGTGACCAATACCTCTTGTAACACGCGCGTACCGTCATCGCGAATTGGGTACGAAGACTCCGGGCTCGTATCGCGTTAAAAGGTTGGAATTTTTAAAAGTGAATAATGTTTCTCATACAGAATTTCATTGGCTTTTCATTTACGTAAGCATTTTTTCAAAATTCAACCAACCGGGTTCGCTACAATTAGTTGTTGTTGTAACACTAATAAAGGGACTACTGGGTAAATCCATAGTAAAATTTAATCTTTATCAAGTCAACGTTATTCTGGATTTGGTATGGTTTACGAAATATTTAATTTAGCGTGGATCTCCTTACTTGCCAAAGGGTTACATTATTTTTACGGGTGCACATATGAATGCATGTCTTTACCAGCCCTTCCCAAGTCTTTTACTTTATCACTGATTATATTTGGGTTTAAGAATTATTTTCGTATTAATATGTATGAAAGGTTCATCCCATAATTCCTCCTGGACGATGCATGCACATATGTATGTATGTATGTATGAACATATAATTCCTGTATAAAAAGAAATCCAGCACAAACTGCGTATTAGATGAAGACAATATACATCTTGATACATAGATATGTATGTTGCGAAAGGTGATTGTATAATTTATTATCCAGTAAAATCGTATTCGCAGAGAATGTGTTTGGAACTGTTATTTGCAGAATTTGATAATTTTACACGAACCTAAACGACCAGTGCTGTACATACATGTCTTTATCTGAATTTTTTAAAAAATTGTTAAAATTGTACACGTAAATGTAAAATACCTCATCAAGCTCTTGCCTGGCTGGAAGAGATGGTGAAATTGCAGCAATGTTTCCATGCTGCATTTCAGTACTCATTCTTTTCGGTAGAAATATTCCTGGACATAAAAAAAGGTGGGGTAACTCATTAACCAATTAGCTCATGGCTCTTGCATACAGGCAGGATAGGTAGGACAGGTAGATTTTAACTAGGTAGGTTGGGATATGTTCAATTTGGACAGTTACAATTGCATAATACTACGTATCATATCAGTAGCGTCAATGCAAATCACTGGGTTGGAGAAAACACGTATAACTCATCAGCATGTACAGTACCGGAGTCTTTAGCCCAGATAAGAGTCAGCTTCTGCCTTATTTAGGCACTGACTATCCCCAAGTGGACAACTATCCAGTATACTGACGTTGATTTACCAAAAAGTCCAACCACCACCCAATTTTCGAACCAGGGACCTCTGCAGTAAGAGATGGATGCTCTAACCACTTAGCTATGGCCCGGCCCCTATTCGTGGGTATATTGTTCACATTACATTCGCATTCATATTCAGTCGAATGAATGAAAGTGAACCGATGAACTTATCTATGTACGCGTTATTATTTATCAAACCTATCTAAATGTTAGCAACGCTGTCAACGTATAATTCAAATCCGTCTCCAAAAACTTGCTCACCCATTCGTTCCTAATAATGCCAAAAGGACCACATCGCGCCCCTATCGGTCTTAACGAGTGGCCCACCTTTCTCTCATACTTTCTCTCAACGAAGTGGATTTTTACACTGGCCAAGAACAAGCTGGAGTTTCCATGCGTTTTCGCAGCTTGTGGTAATAACGTCATGAATACCAAGGCCGCCCCCAAACTTGTTAGTGGAGCGACCGGATAAATCATACTGGGCAGAACGCCGAACAATCGTCGCATAATTCACAATAATAATCGTGACAAGCCCAAAAAATATGAGCGGAGGTATCGCCCTGTAGCAGAAGAGGATGTTGGTGTGCTGATTCCAAATTTGGAGTTCTTGATAAAGCCGAAGAATCTCAAGTTTTGAACCTGTTCCAGATTTTATACAGTTATCAAGTTTGTTAACCCCCTCGGCCGCCGCGAACAAAACGATCAATCCCACAATGAGAAAAGCTAACCCAGCTTTAAGGGTTTCCACCCCAATCAAGGTTAGTATAAGGATTCGGACCGTGTAGAGTGTGACCATTCTGGTAACGCAATCGTCAGAGGTGGTTGGTATCCAGATGCTAAGAGGGTCAAGATCTAACAAAACGGCAGGCGTTCCCAGTGCAATTATGGCGATTGGGGCAGCAAAGATTCCAATTTGTATTAAGGCTTCCAAATGCGGGTTGGACACGTTTGGTCTTTTTCGGTAAACTGGGTTGTCAAGATCTAAATTAAAATGAAAAAAATTAATGTAACTATGTATATTAATTTATATACTAATTATGCTGGAATCATGCCCCCATCAATTGATGTGGACAACATGAACATGTAAAAGCACTAATGCAGAAATAGACATAGACAAAATGTGGACAATTAATAAATTGACTCTTACATATTTATATATGTCATACATCATATCTCAATTATTAGAGTCGAATTGATTTAATAATTTGCAACAACTGATAAGTTGCAGCAATTTGTCATTCTTTATGGCACCAGAAATGCTCAACCTAATTCTCATTTAAATTTTCCAAATTTTTCCACATTTGTTTGTTTGTCCACATTTTTCCTAGCATAATTCAGATAATTCAGTCCAGATTTTTTGATTCGTAACTTTCTGTTTTAAATTTTTTCTTAACTTTCCTTTTCACACATTTTAGTGTCCATATTTCGTCCTGTCCATATCCTAATTTACGTACCTAAAGAACTGCCTAACTTACCACTAAATTTCTTCTCGAATTTTGGAATACAATTCGCAATAAATGGAGCGACTTGTGCAGAAAATGAAATCGTATAACTCATTCCCATCACAGTTAGTGGAAGTATTCCAAGGTACATGCAGGCCATAGGTCGCAGAATGTCTAAGACGTCCACATTATTAGATTTCCTTCCAGAAATCATATCGCTCAAAAGGTAGAAGCAAGCCAGGCTGTGAATCGGCCCTAATACTGACCAACACTTTGACACAAAGCGTTCCATGCGTGTCAACCGATCCAAGAGGATCAAATTTTCAGACAAGTCGAAGGAAAACGGCATCGTTGAAAATTTCACGAATACGTTTCTGTACAAATTTAGAATAATCCACATTCCTGGAGATACTAGTTGTCCACCAGATTGCTTTGGTTGTGCTACCTTAAAGACACGAATTCCCGCCAGGGAAATTCTACTTCGTCGATATTTCGAAGCCATTTTAGTAAATATTTTTGTGGCTTGAAGGAAACTTGGAATTTTTCCAGTTGAGAATTTTCTTCTAGCTTTTCTACTCAACGAATGCAATATAGTTTGTGATCGATTTTCATATACTGATTAGACGATTTCGCTATGTGTGACGATAGAGTCGTCAAATATTTATGATTTTAGTCAAATATTAAGACAATATATATTATAAGTAGTTTAAAAAATATTTACCTGAGTGAATAATCATATTTTCGACCCTAATGTAATATGTATGTACCTCGGCTAATTTAGATAACCATATTCAGTGTTTCGGGTGCAAGTAACCACCTGCATGAAATAACCGCAAGAAACTGGTTTCTTGCAACTATTTTTACCCGCAAGAAATGCAAAGTGCAAGAAACTCCTTCCCGCCGCCATAGTTCTGAAGGCGCGTCGCTAGATGGCGCTGTGTTTCTTGCACTTTCTTGCATTTCTTGCACCTTGCATTTCTTGCATTTCTTGCTTTGCAGTGCAAAAAATGAGAAAAACCCGCAAGAAACGAAACACTGACCATATCTATTAAAATCAAAACAAATTACACTCTTAAAAAATGTGGCCCTTTTGAAAAGTAAATGCGCTTTGAATTTCTTATTAAGCAAATTATAAATACTAAATCCAGAGTAAACTTTGCTCTTTCGCAAGCCATCGAGTCCGGATGCATTTTAGTACTTTTCAAGGATCACATTATTTTTAAGGGTGCAAATATTGATGTGTGTTCACGTCCATGTTAAGTCCTTTACTTTGTGGTTGATCACATTTGATTTAAGAAATACGTATTTATTTTCCGTACTAATATTTATGTAGCCAGGTTCTCCCATACACATTTCCATGTTGATGTTGAATGCATAAAAAGAAATTCACCACTCCAAACTTAAACTCCTCATTGCATATTTGCATATGTACCTATGTGCACACATTAATTAGCAACAACTACATATTTACATATTTACATAAATGCATATGTTATTTGCATAACAAATGTATGCAGTAAATATAAACATAAATGTATGCACAAATCTGCATCTTTATAATACATCTTATTTACTTAAGCGTGTCACCTCATTTTTATGAATCTTACTATGCTAATTTTCGGCGATACGGGTTCTCCATACTGAATAAACGCTGTATCTCGCGAATGTGCCAAAATATGCAAACGAGGTGATTACATATTAGCATAAATAATTTGACAATATGTATGTGTGCGAATGTACTTGAAGCCGTTCTTACAGCTAACCGTCACAACCCAGGTATATTTTTTGTTCCTGTTCGATAAACGAAACCCGGGTTGAATGTATGTACATCTGTACATGGGGGCCGTTCACACATTATACAACGCAAAAATTTTCTAAGACCCCCTCTCCCTTTAAACATGTGTTACATGGGCGTGACATCATTACAGCCCTTTCCCTTCTCTCGGGTTACATAATTTATGAACGGCCCCTGATCGATCCCTTTTCTCCAGCCGTCTTTTTGCACACATGTTGCTTTCTCATAACTTTATCATCTCTACTGTGACTGCAATGGAGTAAATACTAGATCCTTAAAGTTTATATTATTATGACTAGAAATTTTACAGCTTCGTTTATTACACAGTGTATTCCATAAAATAGGGAATGTAAAAACAAATTAAATTGTTATGCCTATCACTGGAAACGTGATTGGTTTCCTGCTCGTGCTAGTCCATTATACGGGAATACTTTGTTCGGTGCGTGTGGACAGCAAATTATTCATTTTAAGATAACCGCAGTGTCAAAATATCGACAAAATCGCGACAAGCATACGTACTTATGTATTTGCATATCTACGTATGTAAATATGTGGCGTCACGGTCATTGTGATAAATGTCACCGATTAGTAAAAGAAATTATCACCACGTGGTTAGGTTTATGTTAGATTGCATTTTACCAGATTTTTAGCAGTATAGCTACCTCTGTAAATACATGCACATGCACAACATGGGGTGGCAAACATTACGGATATTTTGCAGTGTCTTTTTCATGCACCTGCATAAATTTGAGATCTCTGTTTTTAAAAATGTGATTATTTTAAATAAAATTATTGTATTTCAAAATTTTCTAAAAGTTTTTGAAATCATGTTTATGTAGTCATATTTCTTCATGCTGTCCATCCTTTGCTTCCTCATTGGGCTCAAAGGGACACAGATCAATGTCCAGTCGACAATTGGGGAAAATATGGAAACAAAAATTACCAACAAAGTAAACACAGTGATATTTAATTTTAGTACCATAATTTTTAACTTGTTTAATAAAACAGTTAATTAATTAGCTCATGTGCATTTGAGCAGGGCTGGATCAATTTCCTCATTTCTTTCACCTCTGCAGTCACGACTACATCTATTTTGGTGCTTTGGATCTACCTCAACCGCAAGTTGAGAGAATTGAAGGTCTGCATATCATTATGTACAAATTTAGTCTTTACAGTTTAAACAATCTGGTGACAAGATATTACCAAGCGGTGATAGAAATCTTTAAAAGCGTTTGCGAAATAATTTTTTGAATTACATAAAACCATGTCCTTTTTCTGCGTAAATCTCTTCAAGCTCTGTTACCAAAAGTGTAGCCAAATTTCTAAAAGCTTCGCAAGTACTGTTTTTAATTTGAAAGGTGCATAAATATTTACAAATGTGTAAAAGTTGACGTGAGTACGCTCATTAATTATTATCTTACACTTTACATATTTACCCTAAATATTAATTAATTTAACGATTTGTATGAAATTTCAGTACGACGAGGAGCACAATCATCACGGCCACCTCCGCCAGAGTCATTTCCCCTTCGCCAAAACCCTGCCAATTCTAGGCTTCCTTTCTTTATCGTTATTGTTAATCCTGTCAACCATTCAGTTCACCTATGAAGCCTGGTTTGTACCATTTTTTGCTGGAAAACCAAATTATATTGCGGGCGTCACAGCTCTATCATTTTCGACTTTGTATTTGCTCTCTTATTTTATTGTTTTGTTAAGTTTTTATTTGTCCATGAAGTGCTGTAAGGGTCCAGCTTTTGAGCACGATTACGCCGGTTATGGCGCCGCACATGGGTTGGATGAACGAGGCGAGAAGCTTCGAAGATTAGGAAGATATCTCCAAGTCTATTATATAATTAAGCACTGACCGCCAGGAATTGATGTGGAGGGAGGAAGCGTTATTCATCTACACTTGTTTTCATGTGTTTCTACTAAAATATCCTTAATTAAATATTAATCAAATGATGAATTAATTAAATAGTCATTTATTACTTCAATATTCATATAAAAAAGTTAAAAATTGCAAAAAATATTGCAACTTGATGAGCTAGAGGAAGCGTTATAAATTTCCTATTGTTTTCATATATATGTTGTATGTGTCTGTTAAAAATTGTCACTAATTAAATAATTAATTAACTAAATTGTCATTCCTTCATTCATTCATTCAGTATTCATTGAAGTTAACAATTGAAAAAAAATCATGTGCATAATAAAAACTTGAAACACAAATGCTTATTCATTATTTCTTACTTAATTAAAATTCTCCTTATTACATCTGGGTTAAGAATGCATGGTGTGAAAAAAAATGAACGAGTCACACTTTTTGACCACCCTTGATTATTATTTTTTTAATATGCAGCAAACTATGCTAGCGTAATGTTATTATTATACACAACACATAACTTCATAAATCATAAAGTTTATTTCAATTTAGTGTGGTTATCCTAATGTAAAATCAAGAGTGTGGGCACCCTGGATTTGAAAAAAATGCATGAATTTTGTTTTATTTTGTAAACGCAAAACATTTTGAGGGGAAAGGGAGATCATTTTGTTGCGAGCGAACGAACGCAATGTTGACACATTTTAGTCATGTGTTGGAAAAATACATATTTTCACCATCTGCAAAATATCGTAATTTAATTGCCACACATTTCTACCAGGACAAGACTCAATATCTGTAATTTCATTTAACCAATCATGTCAGTTACTAAACGTGAAATGGAAAAACTTATCCATCGTGTCGCCAAGTTGGAAGCATTCGTGACAAAAATTGCAAAACATTTCGCACAACTTGGCATCTTTGGTGATTTAATTATCTCTTAACTTTTTTAAACATAAGTAATTATCCTGGATTCAAATTAATAATAATTTGATTTTTGCTAGATCTGGGCGATGACGAAGAATCCTCCGATTCGGAATACGTACCACAAAAATTCGCTGGAGAAAGACACCAAAAATTTAAAAGACGAAAACGTATTAAATTTATAAATATATTTTTTAATTTAAACGTCAAAATTAACACATTTTGAATCATTTCTCTCCTCTGGGAACTATTTTAAACTTCTGCACGACAAGTTTGTATGTGAAAGTAGTCGCTGCCAATTTTTTTGCGAATATACTCTCCAGATTTTGACACTTTTAAAAGAGTTTTTACATAGGTTTAAGAGACCTTCAGACAAGTTAGAAGTCTTCGAAACTGGCTTAAAAAACTCACCGGAATTCGAATAATCGAGTACAAATTGGTCGTCCAAAATTGTAACATATTTTAATCTATTTTAATTCCCGTGGCGAGAAATGATCAAAAACATGCTTTAACTTTAAATGTGCTCTAATATTCAAGTCAAAAGTTTAAACTGTATACATTTTTCAACTCAAGTGAGCAAAAATGTTTTTGATTTTAAAAATATTGCAAATAGGAAAACGTATCGACGGCAAGACATCATCTCAAACAGTTTCCCAAGGCGACGACCAGCACGAGAATCACGACCCAATTTACATCGTGGACCAGGAATCCGTGGAAATTGGACCTGACTCTGTTAAAATGGAACCGGAGGATTCTGAAGAAGAAGTGGAAATTTATCCGTATACTTCCGATTTTGTAATAATCCCTTCCCAAGAGAATATTGAGCTTCCGGCGGAAGTTGGTAAGAGCTCATCATTAGAATTGTTTTCCAATCTGAAATACGGGAATTTTTCGACGATGTGCAGAGTGGTCAAGAAATAAGTGACCTTAACAAGGAAATTAATTTTTGGTGGATATTTAACTGATAATTTAATACTACTCCGAAAACCAAAATCCGTGTTTTTTTTAGAGAAATGCGTCTTTTACTCGTGCTAAAGTAAAATTTAACTTACTCATGTAGTCGTAATTTTTGCCAAGGGGACGTCCATACATTACGTTATCAGTTTAATGAGTGGGTGGTTTAAGCCTTCCTATGTTAAAATTATCCCTATCCCTTAATGTATATGTTCGTTGGGTGGGTGGGTGGTACAATTGCGAATTTTGGATCACGTAATAGATGAATAGCCCCCCAAATATGGCATTTTTTTGTCAATCGAACTTTAAAGACCTTGTGAATTATAATGGGATTTTGATTTCGATTTGCATGCTAACCTATTATTATTAACTTATTTCAGGAGAAGGCCTTAATTCAGTGGGGACAAAAGATGCATTAATCCCCCCGCCCCCTCCACCACATAACCTACCTCATCTTCCTAAGACTGTAAAAGGCTTCAAGACCCGAGACCCTGTCTGGGCATATTTCGAAAGTGTGAATGAAACTACCCGAACTTAGAAATGCAAGCTGTGTGGAAAGGAATTTAAACACGCGAAAAATGACCGTCTCAGAGTCCACATTCAAAATAAATGCGTCAGGCGAGGAAGGGGAAAACAATACAGCTATTCAGGAGTAGAAGAGTTCCCATCAATCACTCTTAAAAATAATGTTACCCTTTGAAAAAGTATTTAGATGTGTATCTTCTCAAATCTGTTTTAAGCAAACTGTACTAAAATCTGAGACTAAATTGTTCTGCGTATTAAGTTAAGGATACTCTGGATTTAGTACAGTTTATGTAACACGCATTGCAATTGAGACGATGCATATCCACTTTTTTAAACGGTAATATTATTTTTATGAGTGTGAAATATGCACAAGTTTGGGCATGTCTTTATTGTATCGTAATTTTGTATTTGTAAGATAATGTTACCTTTCGAGAAGTTAATGCAGTCTGAATTTCAGATTGGATAAATAATACTAAATCCAGAGTGGCGTTAATTTAATAAAGAGTACCCCGGGTTAAATATAGATTACGTAGTATGAAATTAATTGCGAATCTACTTTTCCAAAGGGTTTTTTCCCAATCATTTTTTCAGTGTATTTTTACGAATGTTATTTTTAAGAATGTATGGACAAATGTGTGCACCTATTTATTTCCAACCGGATCTTGTTTTGATGTGAGGCTTAATTTATTTGGTAGCCCTTATTAAAAGTTTGTATTTTGTGCACACACTTTTCTTTGTAAAAAAATTTCTCACCGCTCTTAAAAATATGTTACCCTATTTAAAAGTAATTACATTCTGAAAATGAGTGGATCCTCCTTATCGACTTACAATTAGTCTCTTTGTAAACATAAATTTTGAGTAATTTCATTTTCTCGGAGCTTGAAAAGTCGTTTTATTATAAACGAATCTAATAATTATTGTGAATTTGAGTTCTTTTATCCACTGTCTAATATTAACGTTAATTCTGATAACTTTTGAATGTTTCTTAACAATAATATGGTTATGATAAAACAAAGACCTATATTGGATACTAGTACTTCAAACTGGGAGTAAATTGGAAGATTTTCAATGATGTTCAAATGTAGAGATCTTTTTACCATTTTGTGAGGGTGTGGCTGACATATCTGGGTGGGGGTGTTGGTAGTAGTAGTATATGTATGTCCTAAACACCCTCTTTGTTGTCAACGCCGACCAGCATCGTCACTTTGGGTAAATGCTTCGGCGAGTGGCGCCCCGATGTACAGTCAATGGAAAAAGTATAGGCAACTTTGGCATGCATTACCATATTCACATAAGACTTTGCACGCACTTGGCAAATTTAATATAGTGTTCGATTATAATCATGTTTTATGGATTTAATTTTCATGAACAGATTTTTTCAATAATTTGTTGGAAAACTTACAAAATTAACCCACAAAAAGTATTGGCACCTTTTAATTAAAAAAGCGTAAAACAAAGAATCTCTTATTTGGTTTCGACAAACTGCATCTAGAACCACTTATCAACTCCCCTCGATGCAATAGGAGCAGAAACATGCCCTGGAATTGACTCCACAAATTTCTCTCCGACATGATTTCCCACTCGTCTTACAAAACTTGGATCAGGTAGGTTCTTGACTAATGGTTTTTTACAAGACAGTGCCAGACACTCCTTTCTCAACCGAAACAACAGGATTCATGTCAGGAGACTGTGTAAGTAACGGGAGAAGCTTAACCTCTTCGGTGTCCAAAAATTTCTTCGTTAATTTGGCTAAAAGCTTGGCGTAACAACATTGTGGGATTTGGAAATTTCTATTTCGTTCAGTCTGTTTTGCAGAGTATTTCAAATTATCTTTTGGAAGTCTTAAATATACCTAGTTGATCATGATTTAGACAATAGTGACCAGTTTGCGGCACCCCGACGAAGACATTTGACCCCAAACCATAGTCGATCCGTCTCAGTGTTTGATTGTCGGATGAAGGCATTCGTTTTTTTGAGTCTAACTATTCATCCACCACATTTTAACCAGCCAATCCGATCTGAATAAGTAAAATATGCTTCGGTAAGACGTGAAGACCCTTGTTTATTCACTAAAAGTTTGTGGAGTGGGATATAGACCATTCCAATTTCCTGAGTAGATTCAGTTTGGGGGCCCACGCGTCCTTTGGGCTACTCGACCTTTAAACTCCATGGCATGAATTCGACTGTTCATCGCATTGTCTGATTTGTTGACTCCATAGTTGGTTCTCAAATTCCAGTTGATTTTAGGAGCTGAAATCCTCCTACGTTGACGAAATTCTTGACTAATTTACATATCGATTTTAGGCGTTGGTAACTTTTGTTATCCGATTCGTTGAAAACTAGCAACTAGGATTCTCGTTTTTTATTTCTTAGATATCTTTTGAATAGTGCATATCGAGAAGCATGCTTTCTGCTTGATGTTTCAATATCGAAGCATTTTACTAAAGTAGACATGCTGATTTCTCGCGCCGCCAGACACAACCGTTTTGGGTCACCATTTTGGCCCTAAACAACACTAATCTAGACTTCTGAAGCAATTAAACTCATATTTTGTTGTCTAATTAACTTACCACCACGAAATGTTGAGGATGGTTAGCGTAATAATTTCGCACACTTAATTGAACCAAATGTTGCCAATACTTTTTGCAGGTTCGTACCTGATGCATTTGGGTCAAAATTAGAATTAGGTTGCGACTCTTTGATTTAGGTCGGAAACGTGATTATAATCGAATACTACATTAAATTTTCTAAGTGCGTTCAAAGTTAAACAATTTTATGTAGCTCTCGCTGGTGTTGCCTATACTTTTTCCATTGACTGTATGTAGCAGGAATGGAAATAAATCATATTTATCGGCCATTAGATTCTTCCGGCGGCTCTTAAAATGCTGCCTGCGGCGTACAGCCATCTTCGTTGACCTTTCCCCCTCTGTTAAACGTAACAAACAACTTATTTACTTGAACTTCACCATTTTACCTTCAAACTCCAGATACATTGTTAATTAGTGTAGTCTTATTATATTAGTCTTAAGCAAGTTTTGTCCAAAAGTTTGAATTCGGTTAAAATTGTTGTATAAATTTTTAGGTTTTATTTGCTCAAACCCTTTCCCAAGCATTTATTTCATTGCAAGATTGTTAATACAGATTTAAAAAATTAATTTGTTTGGACGCATATGTAACTATGACTGTTATTATTGAACAAGGCAACGCGGCATTAACAAAATGTCGCATTGTTAACAAAATTCCGAATTGCTTACAAAATTTTGTGTTGCTTTCAAAATTCCTGATAAGTGAAAAGCTCATATAACGAATACGCTGTAGTATTAGACAGATAATATTCGAAATTTCAATTTCGAATGAAATTATTTGAATTTTCTAACAAAATTTCTTTTGTAATTGGCAAAATATGTCTATAACTATGACGTGTAAACAATACGCTAAGAACCTTCAATAATTACAGTAATTCCATCGTGTAAAACTAATATGGAAATTGCAATAATTTTGCAAAACTCAATAAATTGGAAAATTGGGGTCCGAAATCGAGGCAGTGGCATATTTTTGGACTAGAGGCATTCTAGTCCAAAAATAATTTGTCAAATTATTTTCAGTCATATTAAACCGAATTTGGACGAGCTTGAGACAAAAGTCAAAATTCGCACATTTTGGCATTTATCTCGAAAACTGGCTAAGCTCGCCCCCAATATTATTACGGATTCTTAATCTACTCAATTTTACGAACATTTTAAGGTATCTAGCTCGAAAATCGTAGGAAGATGAAAAATCACGATCTCATTGTATATATCTATCTTAATTAAAAACGGAGGTTGATATATTAGAAAAACTATATACAATAGAGATGGATTAATTCATCGCATCGATACGTATCTAGATATGCCTGGATACATAATTGATTATTGGAAACAAATGAAACCTGTTTCATTTCTCTGCCTTGATTAAAATTATGTAGATTGCGAATTCATTAAATGTATTTACAGGGTTTTTTAAATGTCTCGCTACAAAGTAAAATTTTATGTTACATAAAGCTATGTAAATTAGTTACTAGTTATTGATTGTTCAACTTTAATATCAGAACTAATTGAACATAATGCCAAAATAGCTAATTTCAGAGGCAAAACTTCGATAGCAGCTTACGAGTTTTTTTCCACTAAAAAATTGTCCAGTGCAGCAAGACATTTAGCCCACCCTGTATTTATGCCTGTCTTATGTATAACTATGACTTAGTTTTTAACAAAAATGGTAGGTTTATATATTACAAAAGTTCAACTATACTCACAAGATTTTAATTAAACATGTAACAAAAGTAATTTGGATATATCCAAATTGCTGGTGATCCCGGGTTACAAATCCCGGGTGAAAATCAAATGTCGAATTTGACATAATTCTACATAAGTAGCGGGAACAGCGTTTTTTGCAGAAAAATTATAAACCACTCTGAATAAGACTTCTGACTTCTGGTATATTCTGTAGAAAGTTTTAGCACATTTATGCATAATTCTGCATATTTTATGCGCAAATTGTTTCTGCATAAATATTTCTGCATAAATTCCAGCCAAATTTCTGCATAACTCCCAGCTAAATTTCTGCATAATATCCCTTAAATTTTTTACCCGGGTATATGTATAACCATTACTTTTATTTGTTAACAAAAAGTTAAGGAATTGGCTATTACATTTATAGCAACTATACACAAACCAATCGATAATTGTAATCTCCGTGGATCCATCCACGGATGACAAGTTATGACAAACGGAACCGGTTTAATTTCTATTTATTAGACATTCCTATTTAAAATTTGATTCCGACTTGATTAAATTTATATAAGTCTGCGTCTCCCCATGGAACTAGGGTTGCCGCTGGTAACGGGTCGGGGTCCCGTGACCCGCATACCCGCGCGATTCTTGCGGGTATCCGTTATCTGCGGGTAGTGAGAATTACCCGCACGGGTAACGGGTAGTTGAGTTTTTATTTAATTTTCGACATAAATCAGTTCGCAAAGAAACTTAGCAGCCAGTTTACCAACAAAAGCGTCAATTTATTATTTATGCATTTCAAAATTTGTCATTTGCCAGCAACTAACGTTTATAGCGAGCGTGTCTTCTCGGAAGCCACAGAAGCTTACGGCAGCCTCAAATGCGTTTCACGTACCGAAAATGCGGAGACATGATTGTTACTCAAGTACATATAATTTGCCTGCTCTAAAATATCATATGTTAATACTTTAACTTGTATTTGTGTGTATTTTTGTAAGACTGACGAGATTTTAATTTGTGGAAGGTGTAAAACCTGAATCCGATTGAAAGAAAAAAATGTATTTGTAGACAATTTTTAAAATCACAATTTCAGAAAGTCAAATTATAAATTAACCTTTTTTTCAAGCACACCAAGCTACACCACGATGGCCTAGGGAGTATATCAAAAAGTCCAGCCAAACATTATGGATTGCGGGTTGAAGGCCCACTATCAAGAAGAAAAATATTGGCGGCAAAGTTCAATTTTTAAGTAAAGGTTCTGCGCATTTTTCCTTCACTGGACGAAAGCTGTGATGGACTTTGAACTCTGCCCTCATTAAACGGGTTATTCAACGGAAATATAAGTGATAATTCCTAACTTTTGGCTTGATTTTTTTATATAATTCGCTAAGAAATTCCGGTGTAGCTTGAAAACGGTTCCATTGAAAACCAAAAAGTCTGGTTTCAGAAACATATAATGACATCTAGCAAATTATGGCCTTCGTTACTCGCACAGCATTATCTCAAACTACTGAACAACCCAAATGAGCAAATAATTGATTAAATCAAATTTATTCAGGAGGTTGGTTAGTTTTTAACTTAATTCTCATAACGGGTAGCGGGTAACGGGTACCCGTGCGGGTAGTTGTGCTGCGGGTAGCGGGTCGGGTAACGGGTAGCATTTTCACTACCCGCGGCAACCCTATTTACTTGGAACCTACTAAAAGAGAACCATGTTCTTCAGCTTCATTGCTCACAGTATCAATTTCTCTTTGATACGTTTATGAACCCTGGGTTTAAATAATAATTCTATAATTTACGTCTTTAATAAAATTGAAAACATGGAACACTTGATATTTTACCTTATCATCCCTAAACTGCGCTGGTTATCCGTTGCCTACGTCCATCCCAATATTTTCGGTAGATTTTCCCAAATTAAGAAACAACCCAAATATTTCCCTGGATTTCTGATAGCATCCGCTTTTCAAGCATACTTCACGGTACATATGACTTGTGTTTTAATCCACCCAATTCTATCTTCCGACCGTGATCCTGATTTAAATATGGTGACCATTATCCCAGTCCTTGGATGTTTACTGGTCGGATGCATCATTATGTTCGCTGACCTAGTTTTCTTAAGGTCCAGTGTCACTATGGGTATAGTGCTCGAAAGCACACGTCGACTTTACACGGAATGTGTGGAATTTAAGTTCCAAAAATTTGAAAAGAAAATTTCGAAAAATAGATTGATTCTTGACAAAATCGGGGCAATTAGAATGGATAAGCTTATCTCGTTTGCCGTCTTGTACTCAATAATGGCGCCCATAGTCCCTTCATTTGTGCCGTTCTTTAATCCAAAACTCGAACCAACTTACTTCCTGTTAAAGGCGTTCTCCCTCAGTTCGGATTACTGTCTGAAATCCTACGCCATTCTTAGTGTACGGTCGGTTATAATTTTTACTCTGTTTTATCAATATTACGCAATCGCACTGCAATTTGGTGTACACTTCTTTGCCGAGATGTACATGAGTTTGCACATCTTGGAGGGGATAGCACCAATCATGAGAGGGGATGGCTGCCAAAATTTATTACACTTTAAACGGTAAGTTACACACATCAATGGATGGTTTAACACCTTCAAGCTCAAGGGTATGCTACCCTGGGTTTATGGGATATTTGGGTTTAAAAAGGAACCAATTCCAAAAACAATGTGATGTTCATTTAGATTTGACTTACATACATGCATACATCTGGATAGCAGATCCGTTATACATACATACATATGTTTAACAGGTGTTTTACCCGTTTCTGTATTTATCTGCAATGTAACGGTTTAGTTAATAATACGCACATACGAAATAACAAACTAAATTGAAACCCATTCTTGCCAACTTTAACAAGAAGGGAATTGAAAAGTTTTAATCTGGAGATTGGAAAACGGTACATTTTTTTCCAATATTAAATACGTAGTTATTGTTACTGAATCAAATTTCATATTTTATTCGTTTGCACTGATTAGTTTTTTTACTCTATTTTTCAACAGCGAGGTTTCTTTACACCGGCAACTGTACATTTTACTTGGATGCTACAACTCCATTCTAAGGGTGCACATAGCTATAACGATCTTCATGCTATGGATGCTTGGAATCACTTCCAGCTGTCTTATTATTTGGATCTGGAAAGAACAAACGTTGAACGTTGCATTTTTTCTAGCATACATTTCCTTGGATGCAGTTGTTTACACAATTCTGAAAACTTTGGTGCCAAAAATTGAGAAAGTTCGAGCCGCTTCGCTCAGAGTGACGCGTCAGTCGCTGGGATTTATACGCGAGAGGAAGACTCAGGTTAGGGTATTAAGGGCCCTGTTACCGACGGGTGTCCAGCTTGGATGGTTTGGTTATATACAAGAAAATACATTTGTTACCATGATGCTGGCTGGATTGGAGCAGATCGTTGCACTACTCTTGTCCGTGTAAATAAAACATTATTGAAATTGAGGGATAGCGGTTTATACAATACTAGCGTATAAGCCCGTCTCCCGCCGGGCGAGCGAGAATTATAAGATGCAAATATCTGTCGGAAACGGAAGTAAAGTTTCCACTGGCGCGTAAAAATTAAATTAAAAAAATTAAAACTCTCACGGTAGTTATCTTAGGTAGCTATTTATCTGAGTGGTTGC